GATTGCCTTGCCATGAATTGTACTGTGGGAGTTGTAAGAACTCGTATTGAGGGACCCAAACTGTATAACGTTCCTGTCCTGCCATCAGACATGGGTGAAAATCTCAAATACCTGCTTGATTCCGAACTTGGATGCGATATAATTTTCCAGGTTGGGGAAGAGACATTCAAGGCTCATAAGTTGATACTTGCTACACGTTCTCCTGTTTTTAGAGCCCAATTTTTTGGACTTGTTGGAAATCCTAATACTGACAAGGTGGAACTCGAGGATATTGAACCTTCTATCTTCAAGGTAATATTTTTATTTCTCTTCCTTAATATTAAGCATTGTTGTTCAATGGATTGAAATCAGGATGCACATTCTTATTCTAGAATGTAAATGGAATTCTTACTGGTTCATAAAAGGTTATTTGCTATTCTGAGTTAGGCCCTGTTTGGGAGGGATTCTCAAAATTCTACAATAAATCAATTCTCATTTTCAACCACACATTCTTCAATNTTTCTACAGTAAATTAATTCTCATTTTCAACCACACATTTTTCAATAAAATAATATTTTCTATCACATCAATAATCTTATCTTCTTTTTCAACCACACATTTCCCATCATATCACTATTCAAAATCAATTCTTCCCCTAAAAAATCCCTCCCAAACAAGCACTTAGACTTGTCCTCCCTGTGATACTCTTACACAATTGTTACAACTGGTACTCTGTATCATCAAAATGAGGTGATTTTATGAGATTGTGTTCTGCAGGTACTATTGAAAGTGAACCAGGAGCATCTTTAGGTTATTGAACTATTTCTCTATATGTTCTAGAATGGCCTCATTTAAAGCAATTTTAGCACCTCTTCTTCACATATTTTGAGGTCACAGTAGGGAAGAAGTGTTCAATAGTGTATTAAAGTATATGGACCTTGAATAGCTCCTTATTATCCTTTTGGGTCTGTGCAGTGCTTATTGATAGGAATTGTGGTTGTCCATAAGGAAGTAGAATCTGGTGGGAAACTTGAAAATTCTTTATATTTATCAGACTTAATTATTGACCAAAAGACAGTTCTTTGTCTCTTATTTTTTACTTTCGCTTGTTAGTCACCAAGTAAATCTACACTTTCTTAAGCAACATCAGACTAGGTTCTATTAAACTTGATAAATCATTAAATGTGGCCAACATGCCATGCACCTCTGCGTTCCACTTTTATCTAATCTGGCTCGGTTAATTTATGTGGGCTTACATCTTTCTGCAGGCAATGCTCCAATTTATCTACTCTGACAACCTTGTTGATTTACATGAAATCACTGGCTCAACATCTACTTGTACTTTTGCAATTATGATGCAGCATTTGTTGGCTGCTTCTGACCGATTTGGTTTAGATAGGTTGAAACAGTTGTGTGAAGCAAAATTGTGTGAAGAGGTCAGTGCTGAAACAGTGGCAACCACTCTTTCCCTGGCAGAACAGCATCATTGTCCACAGCTCAAGGCCATCTGTCTGAAATTTGCAGCAACAAACTTGGGAGGTGCGTGTAGTCCATAGATCTGAGCGGTGCAATGTTTCAGGTTATTTTATTTTTACTTTTTGTCTGTTATCTGCAGGCATAATCTTACTGCTAATGAAAATATCTGAAGAACGTTTGAAGCAACTATAATATTGTATTCTTAAGACACCTTGGGATTTTTCTTGTCAGAATGTATTTAAAGAATTGTGAATAGTTAATTTAGTACTTGAGAGGAGAGTGAATAATGGAGCCAGTTTGAGCGAGTTTTCTTCTTCTATCTTCTTCCTTTTTTGGTGACTCTTTTTCCTTTTCCTTTTTTTTTTCCNTGGTGACTCTTTTTCCTTTTCCATTTTTTTTTCCCGGGTGAGGGATTGGCGGGCTGATAGTTAGCAGGAAAGACAATAGTGGGAAGGTTAGGGAAACATTTTTTAACAATTCAGTTTAGCCCGTGAGATCTGTTGAACTAGTTAATTTAAAAGCTTAAGCCGCTAGTATGATCATATGTATATCATTTAATAGTCTTCAGCACGTTCCTTCACATGTAGATGATTTCAACTTTTTTTCCGGCCTAGACATGCAGAATTCATTTAAACGGGTAGGCAGAGTGCAACAAGCCCCCTCATGTGCAGGCTGTTAACATCCACATTTGTTTGAATAGGTGGCAGTGAGACTTAGACCCAGGACCCCTGCTTGCTTTGGTACGACGTTCAACCAGTTGATCTAGTATATCATTTAAATATGCCTTCAACATATTTTCTTTAGTTGCAGTTGCCTTTTGAGTTTTGAGTATTAGGGTTTCTAGCAGAGGAACAAAAGTCTAGTAGGAATTCCATTATTATTTAAGCTCTGTTTGGTACATATTANTCATTTTTATACTCATTTTCAATCACACATTCTTCAATAAAATAATATTTTCCATCACATCAATAACTTTTCCTTCATTTTTAACCACACATTCTCCATCAATCTACTATTCAATAATACATTCTTTCAAAAGAATGTATCCCAAACACACTCTTAATTTCAATGAGCCCTCCACCACGAAGACAGCAATAACATTACCTTTGTAAAAGTTTGTACTGCCTACCATACTCGTCTTCCTAATTAGAAGGAATTTGATGAAAGCACAGCTGAATTTTTTTAATTGTTAGGCAGTGTTTGGGAAGATTAAAAAGTCATTTTTACTGGGTAAAAGTTAAAACCAATTTGCTCTGGAGTTTGCTTGACAGAAGTACTGAACGAAGACAATTGGGCCAGTCTTGTTTATATTCTGCCTAATAGAAAATAAATCAAATTAAATTACTGTCTATATATATTTTTATGCCTAGATTAATTGTTTAAGTTTTGCCACGTTTCCTTTGCCAATTCCATTAACAATTTCCATTGTTTCTCCTTGATTCCAATGAGATGAACTACAAAAATCTCTGCTCAGTGCTTTGGCGCGTGGGAGCTTCGGGAATAATACGGTTTTTTCACTGATGAACATTACTGTGAATGGATTACTCCAGATTGATGGAAGTGAATTGTAATGCAGGGTCTTCCATTTGATTTAGTTTGCTAATACGTGGGTGTTTGTTGTAGTGGTGATGCAGTCAGAAGGATTCAGACACTTGGAACAGAGCTGCCCGTCGCTGTTGTCCGAGCTGCTGGAAACGGTTGCATCAGTGGATGAGAAGTCAAATAAGAAAAGAAGTGGGAGCAGTATCTTTGGGGTAGATCTGGCGGCCGATGGTGGTGCAATCGAATCTTTAAACCCTAATGGGAGGCGTGTGCGTAGACGGGTATAGTGTTGTGATTGGAATATGTAGTGTTGAATTCTATACTATACTAGTTAATCTTCAGTCTCAGCTTTGTTTCTTTGGATTTGAAATTGTTATTTTTAGTATCAGGCATGCTATATTGTTCTTTCCCTTACCTGACCGACTCTTTGGACCAGATGGTCCCAGTGTGAAAATGAAATCGAAATCATTTCAAATAATAAATAATTAATTAACCATTTTGGTTCTATTTTCCCATTTAATTTATTTTTTCTTTTAAAATCTGGATGGTGATTCTTTTTTTCATTGCCAACTTAGGCCCCGTTCGGGAGGGATTAAAAGCCACTTAAAATTGAAAATATGGCCGTTATTGGGTCCCACTCGTCTAATAAAAGTCAACAATAACGGATATATTTTTAATTTTAATCCGATTTTAATCTCTCCCATATAAGGCCTTAATTTCCTTCGTATTGAGTTGAGTGTTTTCCTCGACCAAGAGTTGTAAATAAATGATATAGATATTATGAATAAATGAAATAATTCTAAATTAATTTCAAAATAAGAGAAACAATACAAATTATTTCTGGATCTTCTAAGAATCTGAAGTTCATTCTGTTTACTCCCTTTATCAGTCATAATTTTAAATTTAGAGTGTGTTTGGTAGAGATTAAAATCGGATTAAAATTGAAAAATTAGCCGTTATTGTTGACTTTTATTAGACGGGTGGGACCCAATAACGGCTATATTTTTAATTTTAATTGGATTTTTAGTGTTACCAAACAAACCCTTAATGACTCTTCATTTTAATTTAAATTACACACCTCTTTGGTCCTTCAATTTGAGTTAGAGGAATAAAAATAATAATTATGATAAACCCCTATTTGACTACCATTCTTTCAAGAGAAGGAGTGTTTGAAAATCGTGTAAAAAATAGAATTTTTTTTTTAAAAGTTTATATGAAGAATATTTATTATTATAATGGTCCCGTTTGGGGATATTAGATTTTTCTACAGTAAATCAATTTTCATTTTTAACCACACATTTTTCAATAAAATAATATTTTTCATTACATCAATAATTTTTTCTTCTTTTTCAACCACACATTTCCCATCATATCACTATTCAAAATCAATTATTCCCCCAAAAATCTCTCACAAACAAGCTCAATATATGATTAAAAATGAGTATATGAATAATTTTTTTTGAAAGAATAATTGTCAAACAGGGACTAAGGGCTTGTTTGAGCTCCATTTTTTAAAATATATTTTATAATAGTGTTATGATGAAGAATGTATGGTTAAAAATTAAAGAAAAGTTTTAGATTTACGGTATGTTTGGGCCACATTATTTTTCTCATTCTCATTCTTCTACTCATTTTCAACCACTCATTCTTCAATAAAATAATATTTTTCATCACATCAATAACTTTTTCTTTTTTTTCAACCACATATTTTCCATCACATCAACAATAAAAATACATTCTTACTCCCACAATTTACACCAAACATGAGCTACGTGTAATATTTGATTGAAATAAGTCAAATCATACATTTTGATGAAAAAAATATAATTTTTGGTAGAGTACAAGGCAAGTAGGGAGTGAGGAGGACAGATAAATTTATTCGTACGTAGCACTGAAAATTATTTCACACTTCTTTTAAGAAGCTAAACAATTCTATACTTGGCACTCTGTTCAGATCCTTGGAGGATCAAGAACGAGGGAAGTTTCATTAAGATATGAAATCAATGAGCAATGGAGGAGGAGGAGCATCACATCTGTTCAAATCCGCCACTTTGATCAAATTTTTTGGGTTTTTAATCACTTCTGCCATTTTTTTCTATTTGGGAAAGCATTTTTCAGATGGGTCTTTGCAGCAACTCGTTTTCTTCAATTCTCAATTCTCCAAAACTCCCACTTCTTCGGTTGCCCTCTCTCCGAACCTCAACAAGACTTTTGATTTGTCTTTGATCTTAAATGGCCCGGTTTCTTCTCCTCTTGGTTCCGGGCAAAATCAACAAGAGGAAGGCCAGAAAATCTTGAATTCGGTGTCTCCTCCGCCTCCAGCTTCGGCTCCGCCGCCACCACCGACTGTGCAGAGGATGGGAGTGGTGGATGAGAACGGGGTGATGACGGAGGATTTTGAAGTGGGGGAGTACGATCCGGAGGTGGTGGAGAATTGGGGGAAGGCAAACGAGACGGAAGGTTTAGAGAGTGATGGTAAGGGGGATAAGATTAGGGTTAGGGTTAAGAAGTTTCCCATGTGCCCGGAGAGTATGAGGGAGTATATACCTTGTTTGGACAACGAGGAGGCGATTAAGAAGTTGATTTCCACAGAAAAGGGGGAGAATTTCGAGCGGCATTGTCCTCAAAAGGGGAAGGAATTGAATTGCTTGGTCCCTGCTCCCAAAGGATACAGAACGCCTATTCCATGGCCGAAAAGTCGAGATGAGGTAACCTTTTTCATTGCTTGAATGACGTTACTTTTCTGCTTTCAGCATAATATATTCTGTCATCTTATTGTTCTTTTCTGAAAATGTTGGTTAGATTGTTATATACAAGGACAATTCGTTTAATGATTATTAGGGTGTTTATTTTTTCAAATAAATAAAATAATTAGTTTAGCAAGTTTAAAATGAGAAATATTGTTTCAGCATTTTATGGCCTTTTCTTACAATATATAGGTTTGGTTCAGCAATGTTCCTCACGCTCGTTTAGCCGAGGATAAAGGGGGTCAGAATTGGATCACCATTAACAGGGGGAAGTTCAAGTTTCCTGGAGGTGGCACACAGTTCATACATGGGGCAGATCAGTACTTGGACCAGATTGAAAAGGTGTTAATATTTTCTTGATTGCACGGATGGTTTATACACTAATCTAAACAAAATGGGCTTTGAATTCTCTATTTTGCATAATGTTTAGATGGTTCCTCAAATTGCATTTGGCCGACATACCCGAGTTGCTTTGGATGTTGGTTGTGGTGTTGCAAGCTTTGGTGCCTATCTGTTGTCAAGAAATGTTCTCACCTTGTCTGTAGCTCCAAAAGATGTTCATGAGAACCAAATTCAATTTGCGCTTGAACGTGGTGTGCCTGCAATGGTGGCAGCTTTTGCAACAAGGCGATTATTGTATCCAAGTCAAGCATTTGACTTAATACACTGTTCAAGATGTAGAATCAATTGGACACGGGATGGTATGCTGCTCTGTTTCATATCTGATGTTATCTAAGTATACTTGTCTGTTAGCACTTAGCATCCTCCCGATGCCATTATCTTGTAATTTCGTGATCTCTTTGCATATTTTACTTCAAGTTCTCAATTATTACCCTTTTAAAATATTTGCATAACGGGGAAATGAAAATATGATCTATATAATGCTAATTAGTACTTAAATTGATGAGATCTTATACTTTTGGAAATCAAATTAATTCTTGGGGCTCTATATTTTTCCGCTGGTTCATCGAGCCAGCCATCTGGAGCCTAGTGAATTATAGTATTCACATTCCCATAAAGGAAACTATGTGACTAAGTAACTATTTAAAGGAATTTCATTCAAACTCATTTATAAATGCTAAAACCTAAACTTCCACTTTTTGTTCCCCGTGGTGGGACTTGATTTCTGAATACTGTCATTCGCAATCTCTAACTATAATATAATGACAATTATACTTTTGGGATTTAGGATGTAGGTTCTATAAAAAGTATTGCACATCTCAATTCTTGCTTTGCCAAAAGGGAAAAGATAGCATCATTTGAAGATATATTGATGCTTACTAATCATCCTTGCAAGAATGCTTAGATTAAGTAATGTTCATTTTGTCTTATACTTGGATAGGTAACATAGCTCAATTGAAAAATCTCATATATTTGGTTTAGCAGTTATATGAAATATATTTACTTTTTGTTTTGGTGGTCTCTAAAGGCCAGGTATATTTAATAATTTTTTATAGTACCTCACATTTGTGTCTTTGTTTCATATGTTGTGGTGAAGATGGAATTTTGCTACTTGAGGTCAATAGGATGCTCCGTGCAGGAGGATATTTTGCTTGGGCTGCACAGCCTGTTTATAAACATGAAGCTGTTCTTGAAGAACAATGGGCAGGTACGTGTACTTGAAAGTTTGTAAAATGAAGGTGTGTGTACTTGAAAGTTTGTAAAATGAGAATTTTTTTCTTGAAAATTTTACTAGTACTTTTGCATCAGAGCCTAACAGTTGATCAGTTTCTGATCACATACATGGGAATATCGTATCCCTCAACTTTCTTGTACTCACCTGATTTTATGTCAATTTTGAATCTGAAGTATTATTTTGAATTTATTTCCTAGAATTTCACGTAAATTAAGTATAGTTGGCAGCTATGATGCACGGACACGGGCACGTGTCCGACACTACGACACACGATTTTTCAAAAAAATACCTACACGACACATCGTTGACATGTTGATTTAATTATTTTAAAATTGTTCATTTATATAGGGGGTGTTTGGGATTGATTCTCAAATTCTACAGTAAATCAATTCTCATTTTCAACCACAAATTCTTCAATAAAATAATATTTTCCATCACATCAATAATTTTTTCTTCTTTTTCAACCACATATTTCCCATCATATCACTATTCAAAAATCAATTCTTCCCCCAAAAATCCCTCCCAAACAAGCTCATAGTATAAATTTAATTTTATACTTGTTATTAATTTTTCTTATTGAAATGTTTTAAATATAAGTACTTATTTGATATTTAATAATAACTTTAAGTTAAAAATATATAATATTGTTGATAAAGAAATAAAAATGACTATGGCTACCCTAGTTAAAGTGTCCGCACAACAGAGGCCAACAACCCTCCAAACTGGAGCAATTTCCATTTATTAATTCAGTTTCTGATTTTCTTTGTTTGTAGAGATGGTTAACCTTACCAATCGTCTCTGTTGGACACTAGTAAAGAAGGAGGGATATATTGCGATATGGCAGAAGCCATTAAATAACAGCTGCTATTTAAGCCGTGAGGAAGGAGCCCAGCCACCACTATGTGATCCAAATGATGATCCCGACAATGTTTGGTATATCTTCTGTCATTCTGTCATTTTTCCCTTTTTCATATTATATATCAAAATACACAACCATTGTTAATGGTTGTGTGATATCTACATGATAATCAAGAAGAGAAGGGTTCTATGCAAGAGAACAATGGTTGTGTGATATCTACATGATAATCAAGAAGAGGAGAAGGGTTCTATGCAAGAGATAGATACTATAACAATGCTGTTACCATGTATATTCTTCTTTATTCACCATCCTGTGTATTTCTGATGACCTAATGGATGGTCCATTGATTGTCTCATTGCCAGGACTGAACATGTCTGGGTATAGATAAGTATTATATTATCTATTCTCTCTGTGTACCTACAGGAGGGGCGGCAGAAAATGTTTTCTACCTCAGAATTTGTACTGAAGTTATTAGCACTTGATCCTAAAATATCTCTAAATATGATATAATGTTGGCACTTGGCATCATTTATGGTTTTATCCGCAGGAAATTGCATTTATTGCATTATTTGACCCATAGCTCTTAGAACAAAGATATGGAAATTTTGCTAAAACTGGTATGCCTGCTTCATTATATATCAGTGATGGTGCAGCTGTGAGGATATTTTGATTAACTTGATCTGATAGCATATGGGCAGATATGGGCCTGAGATATTTTGGATCTTGTATAGAAAGTATCGTTATATATTTTTGTATGCATGGATGTGTTTTATTCTTTTAGTCATCCCAAATAACTACTGAGGAATTTATTGCATTTTTGTACTTCATCAAATTATATCTTGGCAGATGCTTAATGTTGTGGACATATAACAGCATCTGACAGGGCATGAGAAAGTTAGTGCTTGGTGGACTAGAAGTGATTAACTCATGCTAGAAAAGATAGGTGTAGGATTGCCTTGGGATTGGTACTGCTATATTTTATTTATGTTGCAGCTTCCACAGCAGGGTACTCATCATGCTTAAAAACATTTGACCCTAACTATAATGGATGAAGTTAGAAATGAAACTTTATGCCAACAAGTGGAGGTGACACACTTGGGGATAAGCTAAGGGAAGAACACCGGCATGTCTTGTGTAGGCCTAAAGAAGCTCTTATTCCAAAGCAATATGATCCCAATTAAAGCAGGTTAGAAGAGTGAGTGGTAGGCTCAAGTCACAATAGCTCAAGGTGGTTCCTGATTTGAGGATTACCCTGAGAATCAGGGTAGACCTGTCAAAATGTGAATATTTAATTACGTGAAACAAAATATTTGTAATGCTGGCTCATAGATTTCTTGGACTAAATTCAGTTGAAATTGGATTATGCACAGTAGAAATGATACGAGAGCTTCCCATGTAGTTCCTAAGTTCTACTTTCTGTTACCGGAGAAAATAATCTATTCTCATTCTGATTGTTTCGTTTCCCAATTATGTTAGGCATTTTGATATGAAGCCGTGTATTTCACGGTTGCCTGAAGAAGGATATGGCTCAAATGTTACAGCCTGGCCTGCACGTTTGCAGAACCCTCCAGATAGACTCCAGAGCATACAATTTGATGCTTACCTGTCAAGGAAAGAGCTATTCAGGGCGGAATCAAAATATTGGCATGAAATAATTGGAAGCTATGTTCGTGCTTTACACTGGAAAAAGTTCAAACTTAGAAACGTGTTGGATATGAGAGCTGGCTTTGGAGGGTAATTTCACTTGTTTTCTTGCATCCTATTCTATCATTCTGCCTATTAATTATGACATGAATTATTATTTAGCATTAACCAATTCATTCCTTTTCTACCAGATTTGCGGCAGCACTAATTGAAAACAAATTAGATTGCTGGGTGCTCAATGTTGTCCCTGTTAGTGGGCCCAATACTTTACCTGTCATATACGACCGTGGACTTATTGGAGTTATGCATGATTGGTAAGAATTTAATTGAACATAATTTGGTTTGCTGTTGTTATTGGTGCTTGCTCATCACTAAATTTTGTAATTTATGGTCAGTTTCTTCCTCACGCTTCCGTAACCTGATCTTGCAAAATAAATAAATAAATTAAAATGGAAGGTATAGAATGGAAAAAATGCCGCATAATTAGGGTGAATGAGAACTATATCAGGAGACGGATGGGCATTCACATCTGAAAGCATTTCTTCAATTTCTGTCAGTGTGTGTGTATGGTCTACGTGGTGTGTATAGATTTTGATCTGTACTCGTATTTCAAACAAATTTGAATATCTGTGCATAATAAATTGCACACAACTTTCCAGGTGTGAACCATTCGATACATACCCGCGAACCTATGACTTGCTGCATGCTGCTGGCCTCTTCTCCATTGAACGGAAAAGGTATTCATTAATTCCTCTCCATCTGCTACATGGATATATATTACTTGCATTTCAAAGTCAGTAAGAACGGGAGATTTTTCAATAATTTAACACTGTACTGAATGGACTGGATATCTAGAATTTTAGCATGCCATAACTTTGTGATTCTTATGAAATCTTGATCCACCTTTTCGGCTAGCAGTGCTTTTAAGCTCCAGATATGTCCATGATTGTTCTACTTGCTTGCAGATGTTTGATAGAGAAATACAATTTGTTTTGTTATTTCAGATGCAGTATATCTACTATCATGCTTGAAATGGATCGGATCCTAAGACCTGGTGGACGTGTATATATTCGAGATTCTGTTGCAGTCATGGATGAGCTTCAAGAAATTGGAATGGCCATGGGTTGGCACGTTTCCATGCGAGATACGTCTGAGGGCCCTCACGCCAGTTATAGGATCTTAACATGTGATAAACGTCTCATACGTCGCTGAACTGATGTGGCATAGATCCAAATAGGTATCTGTAGCATAAGAATGGGATTCTCTGCATATTATTAGCAGTGTAAAATAGAAATATGTGACACATTCTGCGTCTTAACATTTAAAAAAACTGTATTTATTGCCCTTTTTTAAAGTATTTTCCTCTGGAGGAGGGGGGATTCGTCCAGTTAGGTAAGTTTATAAGAAAATACAAGCATAGTTGCAATCATTTGTGCCAATTTCAGGTAGTGGTGTAAATAATACACGACGCCATCGAATTCTTTTGCTTTGTTAATGGAGATTTTATTTATTTATTTATTTATTTTTTACAAATTTTTGTTGTGGCATATGTTGTCGAGTTCTAGTTTAGGTATGAATGAGCTTATTGACTCTGAACAGGTACAAAACATTCCTCTACACACCAGATAACTGAATGTACAATTTAGCACAAAATTAATGTAAATGTAATTTGCAATTTTTTTTTTTTTTTAAAATTAGAGGCTGAAGAAATATCTAGCGTATTGGAAAAATATAGCGTGGCGTTGAATGCCCTTGTATCTTTTCTTGAACTAAATTAAGTTCAGTTAATATCAATTTATATTTAGACACATTGAACATACATTAGAATACAAGCATTTCCTCTCCAAGCAATGTCATAACGCAATTTTATCCATCTAAAAATTCCTCATCTTGTCAACTTGACGCAAATTTACTGGTAAAAATCTTATGATCTACTCTTATGAAACATCCACATGATAAACCAGATTTTATACAAAACATTTTGACTTTTGGCAAACGCTGAAGGGCTCAGTTTAAACACATAATTAAAGATCAATAACCAGTTGTTTAAACTGAAGGAAAGCATTAAAACTATCCAAACAAAAAGAAGGAAAGCAATTAAACTTCACAGTCGGATTTTAATTTCACAGTTAGATTGGAGTGTGCTTCTTCCAAGTGTGCAAATTTATCATCGCTTTTTCTTTAGTAAAATATGGGCACCAAAAAAATTGCATATAGCGTCGTTATTTTTCTTTAAAACCCGAAACAAGCATCAAAATAACAAGTCTTGGCCCCAAGCACATGGTATTATACCTCAGAGCAGAACTAATGAGATCTATTTCATCTTTCAGGTATTGGCCTCCATACTTGCTGTCTTTGACTAGGAGACGCCTTGACCTGTCCACTCGTTGTCCCATTTCGACTGTTATCAATCCTGGTGTTTTGAGCCTGTCCATTCATTGTCCTATTTTCACTGTTATCAATCCGGGTGTTTTGAACCTGCCCATTCATTGTCCCATTTCGTCTGTTATCAACCCTCATGTTGTGAAACTGCTGTTGAAGTTGTCCATGAGTCTGCTTTCTCCGAGCATGTTGGTGAGTCCCGAGTCCTTTTCTGCTGTGATTACTAGAAGGTGTCGCTCTTGGCATAGATTGTGAAGGTGCTTGTTGTCTAACCGGCGTTCTAGCCACTAAATGTGATATCTGTGGCCTGATGAGATTCATAACGAGAGAAGTTTGATTTTGGTTGGATGAGATGAGTACTTGGTGAGTTGCCCGAACTGCTTCCAATATCTTCATCAACTGGTTACTGCTAACTGTCCTANAAAAGTGCATAAGTTCTGGGTAACCATCTCATGTTGCTGTTGATGTCTTCCAACTGTCCAGCATATGGGCTGACGCCTTGTGCAGAAGCCCTTGAACAAATTTCAAAAAACTGAAAGTGCAAAGAGACAGAGTGATTGTCAATGTTGCTGAAATAACTCCATTATTGTAATATATTCAAGGTAAGCATCTATTATGTATCTCATAAAATTTGTGAAACATGTCAAGTTCACGTGTGCCACAGTAGTGACCTATTTGACTTGGGAAAATGAAGTACTGACATTGTTACCTTTGCAAGGAAGGAAATAAAGAGCTCAGACATGGTGCTTCTGTTGATTAATCTCGACCTATCAGATTTAATTCTGTTTATATTTACTGCACATGTCTCCTCAATACGTTTCTCTGCAACAGCTCTCACACCTTCACAAGAGTGATGAAGACTTTTGAGTGCAAATGAAACATTGATCTACTAAGAAATTTATTGTTCATGAATACTTGCTTAATTATGTATAGAACATGCCCCATAATAAACACTGCTGCATATGCTTTTTAAAAAATCAAGACGAATGAGTACCTGTAAGGTCATCAATCATATTTCCTGGATATATTTCTCTAAGAGGAGGTAAAATTGCCGGTTCTAAAGTCTGCAAGGTATTTGGAGAAACCAGATAGAAAAGAACTAAACTAAAAAGCCGGTAACAAACGAATAATGTTAACAGGTATATATGACTCTGATTGGTACAATCGTAAGGGAAATATGTGCGTACATATCATGGCAAAACTGCAAAAGTATTAAATAAATCGAAGTTTGGTAGAGTGCTTTAATGTTTATTAAGTGTCATCTGAAATGTGTTCAAGATGTGAACTATCGTACTACTTTATGCCAACATACTTCCCTTGAATTTATTCCCTCTTACCTCCTGGGTTTACTATCTGTTTGCTGAGTTTCAATTTTTACTTATTCATTACTACACTTGGGCTCTCCAGACTACCATGGTCCCTGAAGCACTGAAAATGTCCCTTAAATCATTTACAGGTGTAGAAATCCGAAAAATACATAGGATAATTGTCATATATTTGTGATTGATTCTTTGTACCATATTTAAGATTCTTACATAGTTAGATAGCTCATAATCAGGCCGTTTTAGGCTGATTTCCTTCTCTCCTAATTTAGGAGTTTTTTCCCCTTTTCTTTTCATCCCTGTTGTAGTATAAATATAGAGCAGTAGGTATGTATAATCATCAAGAAGTACAGAAATCTTCTTCTGATTTCAAAAGGTTAAATATGGCAACCAAGTTTACCTGAAGATGGAAGACTACAAGCAAGCTAAGAGTATACGAGTTCATAGTTCCAGATTTTGGATCATTAATATTATGAGCTTTGGCCCATTCTTTCACCTGCAAGTGGAGATTCATATGATCATATTACAGCATAATAAGCATTATCTTTCCTATGTTATGAAAACTTGCCAATAAAACCAGATCACGGAAGCGTCCATCAATCTCATTGATCCAGAATAGCAGTTTTGACTTCATTTGACCACTTAAATTGTTTATTGAAACGTCACAAGAGATGTTGTATCTGCCCTCAAATTTCAGAATGGGTACCCTAGCATGGGAGATGAATTGCAGCTTACGCCATCCACCTGCAAACAAATGAATTGAGACAGCATTCAGTCAAGAAGTTGTAAATTAGCCTAATGTCAAACACATCATTATTTTTCTGCCATTTTTAAGTTTTCCTTGCCTGCTTGCCAAACAGATTTCTTGATATATTTCATTCTTCCAGTACGTATTTAAAGCTTATCATAGCTTTGCAGGGAGAAACATTGAGCATCTCATCTATCTCAGATTTTATTGTCTATCAAAACTAAATGTTCTCAAGAGTATCTTTGAGACACTACTACAGGACTCTTTTTGTTTTTAGCACATTGAGCATCTCATCTATCTCAGATTTTATTGTCTATCAAAACTAATTTTTCACACTAGTATAGCTTTGAACCACTACTTTAGAAATCTTTTCCTTTTTAGCTTTCTATCTTTTTCAGAAATGCATATGATGCGACTAGTTTCTTTCTTGTCTCACTTTAATACATTATCACACAGGGATGCAACAGCCGCATTTAGCGGCCTTGATGAACATGAACTGCACAAGCTTTCATCATTCTGGCAGTGAGGAGTGGCTTTCAAAGATGAAAGCAATAATTGATGGTAAGAAAATTACAAAAGTAAAATGCAAAGGTGAACGTGTATCTAATTTATGGCTAACTGAAGCATTTAAGGTGGAAAGGTGTAAAAAAAATAATAATAAAAAAAAGATACAGCCTAAGGACATTGAGGTATTAGTAGCAGATCACCTTTCCTGTTCAATGCTTTTAGTACATCTCCCAGTAAACTTTGCTTGTGCTTTTTCCCAGGGGATGAGATATATGAACCATTAGGCAACTCTATTGATATATCCAAATCTCCCCATCTTGTGAAAAGATTAGATGCAAAAGATCCAAATGGTTCCACAGTCGCACCTGTTTTCACCATCGGAGCCTTTAACTCATAAATAAATATTATCAACCAAAAATCCTTGAACTGTGAGCATATAGTTTTCTTTGTTATTGAATTGAGAAATTGTGGAAATTTTTTAATGTGAAAGAGTTTTAATTCAACCACTAGAGAGCAGAGAAAAGAACACGATGTCAACGAAAAGAAATATTACTACGAGAAACATCACTGGTTCAAACTCAATATATTGTTCCTAATTTTAAAATGACATCCGTTTTTGAATTCTTACAAGTTTCCACAACTAAAGATTAGTTTAGGACCTTTGTATATTAAATAATCATACTGATAATAACAACAATAACATGAACCATCTATAGCATCAGAGAGTCATGAATTTCCAGAATTTAACCACGTCAACTATTAGAATGAAAGCACTAACTTTATCGAAGAGAATTGGAAATAACAAGCTCAATAGGCAACTATATATAGAAGATTTTATAGATTAGGTGACAAACAAATTGCAGGTATATTGGATGCACTTTCTTTCGATTTCCATGTCACTATATTTTCTCGAGGACAACCTTGCCTAAACAACATTAAATTCAAATCAAATGATACCATCTAGAAGGTTTTTGGGATTAAACCCTCAAGTAAATCCATGAGAAATATATGTTTAAGAAGCTGCAGATTTAACCAAAATAATAACAGGCCATTCACTTGGAGACAAAAGGAGTAAGCATTAGACTTTCTTTTAGATACTTACAATTAGTCAAAAGATATTTTCCACTTATGATATTATACATAAGAAAAATGCATGCCAAAGTATTTCATATGCTAAATGCAGCAATGTAATTTGACATCCCAGTTAAGTGGATTTGCCTTCAAGTTGTATAGCATAAAAGATCAAATTCTTCCTCAAAGTGAACTAGGCTCCTAGGGATTGTCAGACCCCACTTGAGGTCTCAATTTAATTTATTTTGCATCCTTTCAGTAAATACACTTATGAGAGTTTTTGCAAGAATTATGGAAGCTAAACCAAAATGTCCAGAAATGAAGTGACAAAAAGAAAGAAATGACATACTTTGAAGCATCATATACCTCTCAGACTTTCTATGGATTCAACAACAGCTCGAAGTTCATCAATGATTTGAAACCTTATAGTCCAATCCTCTCTCAAGGGATTGATCGCATGAAGGACATCCCTGAGCGTAGTCTCCAACAAATTATATCCATTCATTTTGAGTGCTAAATAATGCCACCCGACCACCGATTACGTCACACTTTTGGATGTAAGAAATGTCCCCTGCATGTAGAGGAAATAACATGCAAGTGGTTACAAATAAAGCTGGCATAGAAAAGTTTGGTTGCTCTTCTCAAACAATGAATGTTATAGGGAATGGAAAGGATAGAACCTAATGGAAAGGATAAAACCTATGAAGCAAGCAAGTAATGAAAGAAGAACCACAACATATTGAAGAGTTAATTACCTTCAAAATGAGTATAAGATGTACAGTTAAGAGTCCAACCAAATGAAAATATAACTATGACAAAATTTTGTGAAACAAGCTATTTTTCCAGCATTTTAAAGATTGCCACTTGTGACATCAGAACAGACTATGGATACCAAAGAGAGAGAGAGACCTGTAAAATGCATTGGGGGTAGCGAAAATGTATTGCATGCTGCAGATTAAGGACTAAAAAGACACTGCAACTTCCCTCGCCACCCACAAAAAATAAAACATAAATAAATTGAAGGGCATCAATGAAGTAAAAGTATGATAAACAATTATTGTGAAAAACATTCTAAACAATTACTGAGAAAACATGTTTCCCAATTACTCAATGTGCTTGCTGTTGATAAGTGGATTTATGTGGAAAAATAGTTTCCCAGTCTATGGAAAAAATAGAGAGAAGGAAACAAAGAATAAGAAAACAATGCCTCGGTGAAGGAACCAAAAAAATATAAAATAGGAGTAATTTTCTTCACAGAAAATCAGTTTTTGGAACATACTATGTCATTCGTGCTATGCATCTTGACGTGTTAGGTAACAAATAATGGGAAATGTGAACACGTACATCGAATAAGTATGAAATGTGAACATTTACAAAAGTTGACGTTCAAAACGAGTCAAATATCCTTTCTAATGGCGTATATTCCCTACATCATCAAAATGAATATGTTTGTGGTTTGCACCATAATGATATCAAAACTTAATCAACAATGAGATCACAAATCTTGTAAGGTATCAAGAACATAAGTTGGGTTAAGATCTCAAATCTTGAACATTCTGATATGAAATACAAAACAAAACAAAATTTGAGAATTTCACTGCAACCATCGAGAAAAACAAGGTTTAGCAAACAATCGAAGTAGTGAATTCAGTTCATTCGACAAATTGTTCAACCAAAATCATATTCCAATAGCTCCTTACACAAATCTTTTGCTTCCTATCACCGAAAGTAACAACCGCAGCACAAGTAAATCGAAAGATATATATATATATATATCTCAAATTCACACAGCAACCTTAATTGCATTTCCTGTCTTCAAATCATCTTCAGCAATAAACATAATATAAAATTACTTTCAGTAAATTGAACAGATAAGCCTCCCATATTTTACAAAAACATTGCTAAGAAGATAGCAACAGTTACTAATCAACTCATATAATTCAGTGCGTGTGGGCGCGCGCGCGCGCGTTACTATTCAAATGGGGCGCCCACATCCACAAATTTCAAAATCAAACCCTAACCGATACTAAATGGAATAGAATTCTCAAGACTTTATCCATAAATAAAACAAGAATCTGCTCATCAAAAAACATCATAAAATATACAGTAGCAATCGATAAAAAAGAAGATGACCGGAATGCTCAATATACGGACCTTCTAATGTAGGGCATTGATTGTCAGATAATTAAGGCATCCATGGGCAATTGCATTAGAATATTAGGGTTTGCTTTATGCCTAAGAGCCCCTCTCTATCTTTGTGCTCAAGTACTGGTATAGAGCCGAGCTGGGTTACCAGGCTTTGGTTCACAGGCCGGTACCTGCTAAAGAAGAGAAATCCACCGGTATATGTAAAATTGTGATTTGTGATTTGAGTTTCAAAAAGTTGACAGGTGGCTTTGTTTGGTATGAATGCAATTTTTACTTTTATTAGACGGGTGGGATCCAATAACGGCTATATTTTCAATTTTAATTGGATTTTAATCCCTCCCAAACAAGCTCGGTAATTTCATTGAAGACATCGTTTAAAGTTCAAACCAAACTGTCGAGCCTGCGATTAGAGCAGTGGCTATATTTCCAATTTTAATTGGATTTTTAGTGTTACCAAACAAGCTCATAATGAAATACTGATAAATATGTGTGATTAAAATTGAATTTGAGAAATAACGAATTTAAGAAAATGAGGGCTTGGTAAGTTTAAAAATCTTACTCATAAGTAAATAAGTAAATTTTGAAATAAACTTTTAACTATAAAAGTAGAAAATAATTAAATTACTTTTTAATGGTAAAAGCAAAATAATACGTAGGTTATGTGACAAGAACATGAGCCGTTTGGTCTCTATTTTTCTAAAATTATACTTATTTTCTATCACACATTTTATGGGAATCATAATTTTTATTAATATTTCAAGTTCAACCAAATATTTCATAAATTTTTATCAAAATTTATTAAAAATTCGATTTTTAACTAAATCAACGAAGGACTGGGTTACTTTTTAAGAAAGTAATGATTTACATAAAATTATAATAACCAAACAAGTTTGGGGGAAAAAGTAATTTTACTTTTATTTAAATGTATAATTTAGAATAATATTTTCAATCATTCTACATGTACAATACATGTGTTACAATCTCTCACAAGGGAGGTGGGCCCCACGATTAAAATAATAGTGGACCACACCTGCCTTGTGAGAGATTGTAACCTTCTCGATTGACATGAAGAATTCCCTTCGTTGAATAACCATCTTAAAAATTCTTTGCAATTTATCTTCAATATGTGCTACCTTAACCAACTCTCAAATGTGCACATTGTTTGTTTCCTAAACGTTTTTATTTTTAGTCCATGTTTAGTAGCGATTAAAAATTGATTTTAATTTAAATCAAAATTAACAGTCAATTTTAACCACATATTTCATGAGTTTCACGACTTTTTAACAACTTATTTCATCAAAATTTATATCTACTAAAAATCTGATTTTAATCATCACCAAACAAAGATTGATCTTCGAAAATTTGTTGGCACAAAAACTTCAATATTATAATCTTTTCAGTAGCACGATCTCCATTTTTCTCAATCACCAGAAAGGCTTTCTCATACTATAGGAGGATACCATTGACGTCATTACTGTTCAAATATCTTTGTTCTCTCTTTCTTGCTGAAGTGAGGTTTACTCATCCTCCCAGTATGTTGCACTGAAGGAAGAGGTGATTGATGTTACAAAGTGTAGGGAAGGCAATGGGTCAGGGCGGAGTCGAGCCGCCTTGTCAAGATTAATTTTCCGAGGTGGGTTAATGATGGAAATTAAAATATTTCTATTTATCGACAGGACTTAATTATTTAATAATTTATTATATTTTTTTTAAATACAATTAAAATTGATTTTTTGAATAATGAAGCCCAAGCATGGGCATAGTGTAGGTTCAGAGAATTCGAGGAAGGACCATGTATTTTCAATATCACCCTATTCGAGTTGGGGAAATGCAAGGCTAGTCGAGGGTGGAAATTTTTGTCATCCTTAACAAAGTGATGGAATTTCAACTTAATTGAAGTTCATTGATTCAATTGAAACAAATTAAAGTGAACGAGTTGAAATTTTGTTGAAATTATGATTATAAACTGAGTTAGTTTACCCTTGAAATAAGTAAAAAAATTGTATTAGTTCACTAGGCGGGAAAATATATATTTAATTATTTATCAATGTTATCAAAATATTGGTTGGCCCGATGGGAAAAAATTGTGAACCGGTGTCAAAATTGATTCGATTGATGTCTAATAACCAGATTTTTAAAAATTGTAAGAAAAATTTAACCAAATAGTCTAATCGCTAAACCAGCCGATCCACAACCCGGTTTACCCGTTTTTATCAATGGAATTTTTTTCTGTCAAAACTTGAAATTAACTTGGGGAAAAATTCATAAATAAGAAATTAAGTTTCATCCATTTCAAATTTAAATACCTAAGGTTTAAAATTTCAAATGTCAAATTTTATTTGTAAATAAATAAATTAATTAAACATATATTTCATTAAATATATTAATGTCACAATTTCATATAATTTGATCACAAATTATAAATTACTTTTTGGTCACAATAAAAAATTTTATAGGTCACAAATTATTTCACAATTACAAATCGAAAATTTTATAGGTTACAATTTTTTCATCGATCACAAATTTATAGAATTAATAAGTTACATATTATTCATTGATCACAAATTACAAATTTTATATATCACAAATTATTTTAACGTCATAATTCAAAAAAATTATAGGTCACAATTTGTCCATCGGTCACAAATAAAAAAAATTAAAACGTCACAATTTATTTATAAATATTATAAGTCACAACTTATTAGACAGTCACAAATTATCAAATTATCGGTCACAAATTAACATATTTTTAGGCCACACATTATTTTTTGGTCACAATTTTTTTTATTAGTCGAATATTATTTATCGGTCACAAATTAATCAATTTAATTGTCACAAACAACCAACTAATCTGTGATCACCACAAACACTTGTGACTACCACCTCATCACTGCCACTAACAGTATGGTAACTAAAACCCCGTCGCTCGAACCACCACCACCTCTCAACAGCAAACCATCATCTAAAAATACTGACATCACCATGACCATCATCTACGATTTTTAACTTCAAAACCACCACCAACAACAACCACATCCACCACCAGATCCAATATAATAGCCGCCACCATTGGATCCACCAAAGCCACCACCACCCAACATGAGTATCACCACCACTATAACCCCCACCCACCAACTGAAAACAGAACAAAAAAAACCCACACAGAACATGGCGCTACAGATCCCGATCACGACGTGCGATTGGATTGAATTAGCAAAATGAGCAGGAGGCAGAGGGGTTGAACCAATGGTGATCTCACCTGCGACGGCGCGAAGCTCTCACTTGGTCTTACTGCACGTAGTTGTGCTCGCTTTTGTCGTCGCACAGTGGCTGAGCGACGCTTGTCACTGTCACTCT